CAGACAGACAGACAGACAGACAGACAGACAGACAGACTCACAGACAGACAGACAGATAGACAGACAGATAGACAGACAGACAGACAGACAGAGAGGGCAATAGGGAGAGAAAGAGAGCGAGAGAGAGAGAGAGAGAGAGAGAGAGAGAGAGATAGTTTGAGACAGAGAGACAGACAGATTGAGAGAGAGAGAGAGAGAGCGAGAGAGAGAAAGAGAGAGAAAGAGAGAGAAAGAGGGAGAAAGAGAGAGACAGAGAGACAGAGAGACAGAGACGGAGAAAGAGAGACACAGAGAGAGAGAGAAAGGGAGAGATGTATATTGACTATGGTGTTTACGACTCCACATCCTCCCCAACAGCCGAAGCCAGAGAGAGAGGAAGTGAGCAGCGGTTTTACAGGATAAACTTCAAATAGAGTTAGAAAAACTGAAAATTAAACTACAATGACTTCAGACTCTTTAATATAACTGTGCACCCTCCAATGATTTTGAACCACCCTCATGTTTTTCAGATTCGAAAGTTAAGTGGTTCGGAAGTTGTTGGCTACCAAAGTGACGAACTTTCACAAGTGTAATATGTAGATATAGATGAGTGCTTAAGTGGCTAACTCTAAAACTAAGGAGTACTTTTAATCACATCCACCAAGAAGGGATGCTTCTTAACAGGTCCCTTTTCTCACTGTGGTAATCCCAAAATATAATCCTCTGTTTTTCCAGCAACCACCACCACAAATGTAATCACAACCTGATGCGCTTAAAAAACGGAGAGAAGCCCTTTTCTAGAAACAGAACTCTCTCGTTCTATCACTCAGATGTACAGTGTATACTATTAATTCGTTCTTTCTCTCACTCTTATTCAGAGGAGTATAACTACACCACAGGCCTGTGAGTGTGACGTTTTATTTTTTATGTAGGCCTTTTTACGCCCATATTGACACAATTTAGATCACTTAGAAAGCGGGCTTTGGCCTTGCCTGTTGGGGACACCCTTGGACGAGAGGGACACAAAGTCTCCGGACAAAGACGGAGGAACTCGATAAAAATTCTCCCGTTGCGGGAATCGAAGTCTGGTCTTCGGTATTAGACAGCGAAGTGCCCAACCGCTACGGTTTTTCCTTATTTCTTTTGGTAAGTGTTTTACGGCGCTTGCAACTGCATAATGTCATATGAGTGCGCCAGACACACAAAACGTATTTTTGTAGGTAGGAGTTTTTTTATATTTTGCCCTGGTGTCGGCCGAAGCCTACTCTTATCGATTTTAGACCACAAAGGGACTTTTAACTCGTGCAATTTGCACACGGGACCTCAAGAGATTTTTCGCCCTTGTCCGAGAAGACTAGGTGTAGAACTTTCCTGCCAGAAGATCAGGGGTGTGGCTGAAAGACAGCAATAAGAAAGAGCCAGGGGGTAGCAGTAGAAAGGCTGCAGACAGAGTCAGGAGCCCAGAGGAGGGGACAAAGAGGTGAGGGGGAGGGGTTAGAAAGTGGAGACGAAAGCAAACAACAGAACATTCCTAGAAAGCATAGGAAAGGAGGCGAAAGGGGACAATTTTAGAGAAGAACATTTTTCAGTCGCAACCCGGATTCGAACCCGGAACCTTTGAATGAGATGCGAACACCGTAACCTCTAGGCCACGAGAGCTCCCTAACTGCTACACCACAGACAGCGATGATGTATTGTATGCCTCATACAAAGGGCAGACAATCTACTCAAAAGGTATCCCACGCACAACACAAAACTCGTATACTGACGCAAAGAGGAAGTTCTCCTTTTTCCAGAACAATGGTTTACTGACGTAGATGCCATTTAATATATTATCATTTACATTCTAAAAAATATGTTACGATTCATATATGTGTGTCAATCTATTCAAAATGTGCTCGTGCATGTATTTCGAAATGTAGACAATTTTGGCCAGCTGTTGCATTTGCCTCACATTTTCCTAGAATGTTTACAGGTGTTTGTAAAATATGATACCATCTTTCCTGCAGATATGGATCGCCCCTACATTTGAATTATCGACTGTTTTAATCATAATCCTTTTAAAATTAAAGCTTAGTGGCTATTGTGTGAGGTGTTGTAATGTGCTCTGTACCATTAATATTTTAAATGTTTTTATAGATGCACCGCCCATTCACGTCCATATGCTGGTTTTAGACACACCATGTTGCGTTTTATTGCTTTTTTACGTATTTTGAATTAACTCATTTTGCGTAGTGTCAGCATTTCAACAAAAGATTGGACGAACGCGTCATTAATTCCTGACAAAAGCAGCCCACACATGAAATAACATAATATTATCGTGTATAACATATTGTGTTTGCTGGCAAAACGTGGTCTTTGTCTGTAAACAACACAAACATTTTCCTATACTTCCTGGACTTCAGCTTCTACAAAGCTGTTCTCTTGATGGCATGAATAATTATATTATTTTTCGTCTGTTATCTTCCTTTGTTGTTTCCTTTCTCATTGACTCGCTGGCATTACCTTCTCTTCGTGTATGCATTACCTTCTCTTCGTGTATGCATTACCTTCTCTTCGTGTATGCGTTACTGTCAGGTTACATATTACGTAGTTCAACCTTTTTTTAAACCTTACTTCAAAGGACAGCAAATCATATGAGGCTTCAGGAATTAGAAATACTAAGGTAGTTTTAGAAGAGTTTTCACGGCGCTCGCAACTGCAGAAGGTCATAATATGAGCCCCGTGGGGTGGATGTCAACAGATAAGTCCGAAAGGCGAATCAGGCTTATTCTGCTCACCTCTCTAGCTTCAACAGCACTAAGTCTGTTTTGATTATCACGGCACCCCGGAAATAGCAGGTCACAAGAGTGTGACAAACATACACAAGAAGTAGAGAAAATATGACGATAGCAAGGATTAGGAAAGAAAAAGCAGCAGTTCCCCGTTGCAGTTCAGGCACAGTTATGAGAATGACAGTGACGAATCAGCCCATTGAATAATCTTCTGAGCATGGTAATGTTCCCCTTTTGGGAATGGCCTAAAGACACTTCAGTCAGTAGCACCACCCCGGGGGGGGGGGGGGGGGGGGGGGGGGGGGGGGGGGGGGTAAGGCCAAGAGGGACGCCCGCTGGCGGAACACAACCTCTTGGGGAAAATGAAGATTTTATTTAAAAACTCAAAATATGACACACTCTTTTCTGTCATAATTGGTCTCATCGAACGTAGCAGAATCTACAAGTCATGTTATTCTTTATTTCTTCTCTTTTGTTGAAAAGATATTCCATTCTGCAAATGAATTGGTCATCGTGAGACTGTGACGAACGAACTATTAACATAAATATTTGTTAACACCTTACTCAGCATAATCATTGTTTCATCCTCAAAATCTTGGGCTCAGTGGGGAGGGGGGGGGGAGATGCCAGCGCGAGAAACAAATGCTGAGTCTTACCTTAGTTTTACCTGATGTGTTTTCTTTTAAGGACTTAAGACTCTCAACCGTAATGCCACGGGTTCGAATCCCGTCAGGGCCCGAGCGCTGTGTCCTTTTGGAAAGGCACTTAACAGTTGCTATTCCACTCATTTCACTCAGAAACGAAATGGGTACCTGACAAAGACTACGAAAAGTCTTTTAAGATTATCAGAGTCTGAGCGCTTTTAATCTACAGCTTCCAGTGCATTCTTCCCGGGCAACCAAAAAAGATTCTGAATATTCCAGGGCCTGCTGCGATGATAATAGCTGTAAAGTGAATATAACATATTATGCAGAGCACGTGTATGCACTCTTTTATGAATGCAATTATTGCTAATTATTGTTATTATTTCTAATTGAATGTTTAGCTAACGTTTTTGCTGTTTTCCCTTCTCCACAGAGCCTGTATAGTGATATCATTTTTCTTCTTTGCTTCTGCTACTTCGTTAATCTACAAATCTTCCAAAGCCATATCAAAAGGAGAGCGAGATGAGGAGGTAAGTACTTGCTCGTTATGTTAACTTTGAGTTTATAACACATTTCTGTATTTTAAAATCTGTTTTAGAGACTTGATTTGACTTGAACTTCGCACTCCAGCAAATGAAATGAAAGCAATTAACAATATTTTATTGAAAATAAAGCTTTTTCTATCGCTCTCTCTCTCTCTCTCTCTCTCTCTCTCTCTCTCTCTCTCTCTCTCTCTCTCTCTCTCAATATCTCTTTCCCCTTCAACTCCTCCCTCTTTCTCCCTCCCCCCTCTACCTCACACACGTTTCCACCCTTTCTCAACCTCTCGTCTCGTGCTCAGACCCCACGAATCCTCCGCGGAAAGACAGACAGATTACCCAGCGCCTAGAAAGATCCTCGTTTACTCGGAAACAAGGGATTGACACTTGCATGAAGGCTGGTTGTTTGTTCACTACATGGGGAAACTGAGAGAGAAGACAGGAGAATTAACTGGGCTCAGCCGGGCTCCCGTGATTTTTTATTGCGTCAGCGTCTCTCCCAGGTCTGGTCACTTCACTGGTCGTTTGCATACAGCACGACATCGGTGTCGCAAGCAATCCACTTAAGTCTGTTTGGGTACTTTTTACCCCACGCATGAAAAAAACAACAACAACAAAAGGAAAGCAAAAAGAAAGTTTTTGTGAAGTTGTTCCTTTTAGGAATCGTCGCGTTGAAAGCAAGAAAATTGTTAGCCGTAGCTAAAGCCTTCAACAGCATGTTGGTGATGTTGAAAGGTTCATCTTAGACCTTTGGGAAGGTGTAAAAATCGAACATTCTCAAATGTTTTGACTTAAGTGGATTGCAAGCGACAGCGTCGACAAGAGGTCGGA